ATCCATGATGAACAGAATGCCTAAAACTTAAAGGAAATCACCGATGAACTTCTCGGTCTTAGGTGAGTTGATACGAGCATAGCTCTGTCTCTTCAGTATCAATCATGGGAAAGGAACAGAAGAGACTGTCTTGTTCAGGAAGTTGTGAGGATCAAATCTGAAAGTTAATGTGTTTGAAGTACCTGATGCATGGAAGACACTCATTAGCTATTAGTCCAAAGAGTTTACTGAAATAACGATGCTAAAAGTGAGAAAATGTTTGTTCTTCTGTTTCTTTTTCTTTTTGGTGGTGGTGGGGTTACTCTTCAGGTTGTTAAGGTTAATATTGACAGTTCTCTCAATGATGTTTGCCACCTATGCTTCATCTCACAAATAAACATAAATCAATATTGACCGCTGGCCATCTCCCCAGTAGACCAGATCCTGAGAACGTAGGTCCAGCCTGTTCCATCACAGTCACCGAGGCCAATATCCTCATCCTGTGTCTTCAGCAAACAGCTTCATGACTCCAAGTGACCAATTCCAGGTGTCCTCATTCCAGAATGATGATTGCTGGCATGACCCCTGTGCTCCGCTGTCAATTGCCACAGGAACTATGCTCTCGCCCCTAGTGTGGGGCTGCAGCTCCCCCGAGCTGAGGAGTCACGGCAAGACCACAGATGAGAGGGAAAGCAGCGATCTTCAAGCTGCAGGTCACAAACCAAGAAGGGATTGCTAAATTGTTTCTCACAGAATATCAGGATATCATGATAAAAATCAGTGCTAAAATTCTGTGTCTATGTGAAATATCACCCACCATAGGGATGAGAATTAGCTTGTAATTTTTTTGTTTCCATTATGTAGACAAATAAGTGTGCTGAGAGATATGCAATATATATTCTACTGTGCATCACAACGAAAGAATTTGAAAGCCACTGGTATTGTGGTTAGGAGTTTGGGTGCTGCAGCGAAACTCCTTTAAGCTCTGACCATGCCATTCACTGGTCATGAGACCTTAGCAATCAACCCCTCTCTCTGTGTCTAGTTTTTCCTTACATGTAATCTGGATTAATCATAGTGCCCAACGCAATGAGCAGTAATAGAGATGAAATGAAGAATGCTGGTAATTCTGGTAGGACAGTGCCAGGCCTACACAAGCTGTTATCATCATTACTGTCAGCACTAGCACCTACATGTAATGATGTGACATGCCTAGTACAGAGCCTGAAACACAATAAAGGCCCAATAGTTGTTTATCAAGGTGAAGAGGTCTCGGTGATGGCCATATTCCATTCTCCCTACTCTGGGGCACACAGGACCGTGACACAGAGAAGCAGGACCCTGTGACTGGATCTGGTGGATTGTAGTAAGAAGTGATGAGTGCCAGTTCCAGAGCTGGGTCACTATTTGCTCATTGTAGTATATTCTCTTGTTGCAAACTTGAAAACTTGATTTGAGAACAGCAAGTATAAAAGCTAAAGGTATGAAGACATAGATGTCTAAAAGTAGAGTATTTTTTCTGGCTTATGTGAATGTAAAAAGTCAGCCCAGTGGACTTTTTTTTTTAAGATTTATTTATTTATGCATAAAAGGACTGGGGTACAGGCCAGAGGTGCAGGGGGGTGAGAGAGGACTCACCAGAGACAGAGTGGGGAGCAGAACAGGCAGATGGACTGAAATACACTGCTGAGGGAGGGGAGCATTGGGCAAGGCAGGAGAGGTCTGCTGTGCCATGTGGGTCAGCTCCTTGGCCGGGGATCGAACTTATGCTGCAGTGGCTGTGGATAGCTTCATAGTGCTGTGCTTTAACCCATGTACCACCAGGGAGGACCAAAGTGAGACTTCCAGAATAAAAACAGCACTGCAGTTGGGACATACACAGCAAATAATGTGGAACCTCTATGCCACATTCTTGAGTGTAAAGTAAAACCACCTTCATTCTACCACCTCTGCATCCCACAGGTGTTACTAAGCAAAGCACTCGCTACCTTCTGTGCATAAGCCCCCAAAACAGGTTTTGAAAAAAGAAAGACACTCCATGGAAAATTGACTGGCAAGGAGACAGGAGGAAAACTCAAAACTGCCTGCCTCCAGGGTTAAGAAAGAGAAGAGAATGAGATTCCATTGATTTTGAAGACTAGGCTCAAAACAAAGGAGTTAGATTTTACTGGAGAAGGAATGGGTTAAGAGAAAAGAAATGTGGACTTGTTTGAAGTTCATTGGCTAGTTACAGGCAGTTTATGCATGGAAAATTATGAAGAAACCTTTCTCCACATAACTGGAGTATTAAATTTCTCCTGGTGGGGTCCTTCTTTTGGGTAACCCCTTTCTCTACATTTGTGTCTCCCTGCTCTAGCAAGCCTGGACTCAGTTCAAGGTTAGTGACTTCAGTACAGGCTGAGGTTGTGTCATTTAGCTGATAAGCCTTCAGGCTTTACAAAAGCAAATCTCAGAGAAAAGCCAAGACAATTTTTTTTTCTTTCCTGTATTAGGATCTGAGAACAATTTAACCACCATTATATATAACAGTTTGATGGGACTGTAATTTACATGCCACAATATTAATCAATGAAGGTATGCAATTTAGTGTTTTTTTCCTATATTCACAAAATTATAACAGATTTCACAGAACCTTGAACGCCAGGTTAAGGAGTTTTATAAGTTTTATCTTCTGGAAGCTGGAGCGTCCACAAGAAATTTGCAACATGTGCTTATTAATGAAATAATCAGAAAAACAATATTCCCCCTCTCCTTTGTCTCCTTTCTAATTTATCCCTATGTTACTTGTGGTTTTCTCATGCTTATAATCATGTCATGATTATAATTATGATTATAATGATAGTCATGACTTTTTCCTTCACCATAGCATTATTACATATACACTTTTCTCTGTCTCTATATATTGTCTTCAGTGTAGGTATGACTGCATCTTGTTTCTTACTACTGTTGGACAATTACTTTTTGCTTTATGTGCATAGAACTGTTTTTCATATTCTGTACATGTATGTGTGTGTGTTTTTTTTAAATTATTTCCAAGATGACATTACTGGTATTCTTGAATGGATTACTTGTTCAGAGTACATTAAGGTTCTTATTGTTCTTGATACAAATTACAATCACCAGGATGTTTCCCAGAAGCATTCCAGGACTGAAGGTTTTCTAAAGCATAATTTTGTTCTGTGTACTGCGGCACTTTACAAAGATTCCAGAAGCAAGGGGCAATTAGATTATTACAGTAAAATGTCCTAACTCCAGTGCTCATTTCATAGGTCTGACTATTCATGTTTGCATAATCTAGTCAAAATTCTGTTTGCAACCAGCTACCCCTTCATGCCGTCAGCTTTTATACTCAATCATCATAGAAACAATAGGAAATATATTCAAATGGAGTCCATGTCTCTAATTGTAACAGATCACTCCTCTGTATTATGCCAACCTGGCCATTCAAGGTGTATCATTTTCCTAAGAGATCAGCCTTTGGACAGTACCCTCTGGGGCAACATCTCTAAGGGATCTTAGGAGGGGAGAGGAGTGCTACTGCTGTTTTACTGCAAGCTGAATTTCCAGCTTTAGGCTCAGATTAAAATTTTATTCTCTGAGGACAAACAGCATCAGAATTTCCATTCTAATAATGGCTTTTATAAACATCAAATGAAAGATGGACCCTCCCTGGTGGCACAGCAGGTTAAAGCACAGCACTAAGAAGCTAAAGCCACTTCAGCATGAGTTTGGTCCCCACCTGCCCCGGAGGTGATCCACATGGTGCAGCAGACCCCTCCTGACCAGCCCGCTGCTCCCCTCAGCAGTGTACTTCCTAGATCTGCCTGTTCTGCTCCCGCTCCCCACTCTCTCTCTCTTGTGAAGCCTCTCACAGCCCCTGCAACTCTGGCTTGTACCCCAGTTCTGTATGCATAAATAAATAATTTTTTTTAAATCAAATGAGAGAAAATCTGGACTAGTCTGTTATAATTTTTTCCCCAGGGACCATGTTTGACCAGTCATGAAATGGAAAATCACCAGTATGGAGTTTAGAGAGAAGTGGTTCCTGAGTCATTACCAGACAGAGGTGGCTCTTGCTGGCTCTGCCCTTGCATAATTAGGGGGAAGATTGGAGAGTGATGGAGTAGAAAGAGTAGAATTGGGTGGGCTTGAACACCATGGAGAAAGGTTGTTGGAAAGGAACCAACTTTGTCTTCAACGTCTTCCAGCTACTCTCCTTTGGATATCACGCGGAAAAGAATGTTTTCCTGCTAAACAATTAGCCTGATCAATTTATTATTTAGCCCCTGATGAATATTTGAAGCAACTGATGCTACAGTGTTAAAGTTCACTTTTCTTTTGTGGTCCTCCGCCTATTCGCTTTTCTAAATAGTTCTGCTAAATTACTCTATTAAAACTGGACACTTCGATAGTCTTCCTTTCCAGAGACTGTTCTCTGTTCTGGGTCAAGCTTGCAAAGACACAGGGAACCTACACCAGAGCGGGCTGATAACGCTAGGAGCCTTGATAACGCAAACGCAGCACTTGAAAAGCTTCTGGCAAAAAGATTGCAAACCATTTCTTTGATAGGCACCTTGACAAAAGCAAGGCGTGCATACCGCAGTCAATATACTATGTACAAATGAAGGACAGGATCTTGTTCAAATTCCCAAAGAACATGATACTGGATAATTAACTTATCCTTCTGCGATCTTAAAAATAAAATGACACCAAGACGCTTTCCCGGCTTATCTATAGTATGGTCTGCTATTTTTTTTTGCAAAAGCTTTCGTCTTCCCAAGCGCAGCAGGAGGTGGCGGGGGTGTGTGTAGGGGGGTGGGACGAGGAGGTTCTCTCTTCACCCTCCCGCTGCCTGGCGCCTGGATGAACAATCACAGCCAAAGGAATCCGGTGCCTCTAGGACCCAGCGGGAGGAGCGTCCAGGCGGAGCCCCCCGAGGGACCAAACGCGTCGGCGGCCTGGGCGCCCGCCAACCAATCAGAAGTGGCCTTTCGCCGTCGCTCGCCCGCTGTGCCCGCCCCTCCAGCGGGTCGCCCCGGCTATTTCATGGTGGCCGGCGGAGCCGGACAAGGTCTTCAACCTGGGTCAGCGAAGCTCGGTAGTCATGGCCAAGCACATCACGCTCTACACCGGCGCCAAGATGCCCATCCTGGGACTGGGCACCTGGAAGGTAGGAGCCTGGGGCCGGGTCTTCGCTGCTCGCTTCGGGCTCCGCGCGGCCTGGGGCTGCTGAGGGACCGCGGGGTGACCCAGCGCGGCCCGGGCCATCGGCGCCGGGCCTCCGACAGCCTCACTCGGGCCGGCCCCGCGGGATCGGGCCGGGGCGTGCTGGCCGGGGGTCTTGCGTGCCTGGTGACGGGGGAGCCGCCCGTCGGAGGCCGCCCCTGCAGACCCTGGGTGAGGGGCGCCCCGGGCCGCACTTGAAATGGATTCCCGCCGGAATACCCCGAGAGGGGCCCAAAGGGGAGCGGGGGTTTCCGGGGTGGAGGTGGGAAGGGGCAGGAGACGGAGCCCGAGGGGACGCGGGCGTTGAGCGCGGGCGTTCCTGGCCTCGGGGCACCTGTTGCGGAGGCATCTTATGTTAAATGGTTCGTCCTTCATCTTTCTGATTCTACGCTTACAGGAATCGGAGATGATAAATAAGTAAACTAGGGGGCACGAGTTTGCCTAGGAACTGCCTATATTCCCAAGGTGCAGCCCTGAACCCCTGAACCCCTGCACCTGGGCGGCCTCCCTCGGGTAGTGTCCTGTGGGGGTGGGGGAGAATAGCCCCCTGTGGGGAATCTGGGTTCTGACAACGTTGCAAAACCGTTAGCCTTACTCCAGCTGTCTCTGGAAACTTTCACATCTCTGAAATCTACTCCCGGCACCCCAACGAAATAGCTAGGAATAAAAAGGACAGTTTGATTATCTGAAAATTGGGCAGCAGGAGAGGGAGGATAATCTTACGGGCTCTGGGACATAGCCCAACGTTTTTAAGCCACTTGCAGGTTGGCTTTGGCGTATCCTATGTTACATCACGGTTATGATCCAGGCTTCCCCCAGGAACTTTGATATGGCCCAGTCAGGGAATATTCATACACAGAGAAGGGGAAAGAATACACAGACTGAAGAGCACCTTGAAAGGAACTGAAATACAACCAAGGAAGGTATTTACCCTAAAACCTGCAGTTGGAAGATTAGTAACAAGGTGAATAAGATAAGGATCCCAGTGGCCTCCCAGGAAAGTGTGTCTTGGCCAGAGTGACAAGGTTTATCTTTCGTTTCCTTCAAAAAGTGCAGTGATAGCTGGACTTGAATCAGGTGGAATTGAATCAGGACCGTTATGGAGTGAAATTCTCTCAGGCGTAGTTTACTCCCTTAGGACCCATGTGAAAAACCACTTTCTTGGCTGGAACATATCCATCTGGCTGACGGAGGTGCCTGTGCGCGCACACACACATACAACCTGAACAAAAGTTCCCCCAAAGGTCTCTTAATCCGGCAGCTTGCACACCAGTGGTTTTATTCCATTTTGCGTTTTTAAAACGATGCCCTGACCTATATGGTCTGCCATTTGCTTTAGAATAAAGAAATAAACATTGATAAGAGTCTTCATCTGTTCATGTAACACCCTGGAGAAAAACCCATGTATCTTAAATACATCAGAAGTCCGCCCGTGCACTCCTTCATTCAGGGTCCAGACTCCCTTCAGGGCTCAGGAAGCGTCTGCCTGGCTCACCACTAAGCCTACACTAATCACAGTGCCCAGTAAATGGCCGTGAGGGAAGACGAATTGAATTAGTGGGAAGGAGATAGGTAACTTTAGATATGGGGCTGGTGGGGGAGGAGATGAGGTTTTTGGAGCATGGTGTGAACACATAAGAAGGTGAAATAAATGGGCAAAGTCCACTGGAAATGAATTATGGATGGTTGATTTAATACTTCCCCGTACATATGTGTCCTTCACAGACTGGACAAAAGACAGCATGACCTCCTGGGGTTCCTGGGAATCAATCCCCTTCTCGGAGCTCCAGTGGTCTCCAGCGTACTGTTCCTTGAAAGTCTCCCCTCTGTCTTTGGGAAGCGGCTCTGTCCCAGAGCCCATGTGGCTAAGGGATTTCCTCCTGGCACAGCGGCACCCCTGTAACCTGGGGACAGGAATGAATGTCTCTCAGCCATTATCTCCACACCTGCCCCAGCCAGGAGCCTTTGAAACACCTTTCCCAACTTACCATTGGCCCTGTAAATTTTTAGTATCAGCTAGATTGTATACCTCCTTATGTCCTGCGACTCTTGGGAAAAACACAAACCATAACTTGTATAAGTTAAGATTTCTTTTTTCCTAACCAATTTTTGCCTCTCTAGGGGATGATAGCAGCACCTTTATTCTAAAGCAAAAGACAGGCTGTGTAGGTCAGGGCCATCGTTTTAAAAACATAAAATGGAATAAAACCACCGACGTCCAAGCCACCAGGGGTCACAGCACAGCACCATGAGGCAGTCCACAGCCACTGCAGGGAGCTGACCCACATGGTGCAGGGAGCTGACCCACATGGTGCAGCAGCCCTCTCCTGGCCCACCCGCTGCTCACCGCAGCGGTGCATTTCAGCACATCTGCCTGTTCTGCTCCCACTCTGTCTCTGGTGGATCCTCTCACCCTTGCACCTCTGGCCTGTACCCCAGCTCTTTTATGCACAGATAAATAAATCTTAAAAAAAAAAAAAAAAAAAGAGGAATGCATGACTAGAGGAAAATGTGTAAAACATAAAGAAAATGTGCTGTGCCTTTCCCAAAGCTTGTAATCGTCCACCATCCTGGAAAGGGAAGACGGGGGAGGAGCTGGCTTGGGCGCTGAGTCAGGAGCTTTGTATCTCTGTTCTGCTTCATCTCCCTGCAGGCCTCAGTCTTGAGCTCTTGAAGATAAAAGCTATTTAAATAAGTCCTGTGGGAGCAGGGCCAGTCCTGTTCATCCCTGCCCATCAGGTGGAAACATCAAGGGTTTAGGATTCAGACTGATTCAAGTCCCTGGAGCGGAAGCTAATCTGGGTTCTACTAAATTGTGTTTGTTGCCAGATCTGATTATGAGCTTTCATGTAAAGTCATAGCCAAATTGACTTTTCCTGTGATAAGGCAACAAAAAAGATCATCCTTCAGTGGTCGGCTCTTTAGCATTTGAAACCGCAGTTGACATTATTAAGCTGTACTATTAATCTGGGACATAAAGAGAAGGAACCCCAGGAGGCTGGCCAAGCAGCGTCAGAGGCCCGACAAGCACACTTGCTGTCCCTGATGGGTAGTTGACACTCTGTGGCAGATTTTTAAGCCTTGTTTCTTCAGAACGGCAACTGTGCAGATGGGGAGACCAGGCGTGCCGGAAAGCGCAGAGTGAGCAGACACAGCTTGCTCAAGTTTACCAAAGTGGATTGGGACCATCTTGTCAATTGATTAAATTAAAAATAGTTTAAACCTTTCCAAAGGGAAAGGGATCTGTGACCTGTAGGTCTGTTTCTGTAAAAGTTTGCTTACTTTTTCACACTGTACCTTTGTAAATCATAAACACTAGTGTTCGGTGTCAGAATGTCTATTATCTGGGTGCTGAACTGGCAATCAGAATTTTACTAGTGACTAAGAGTTAGGCCAATTCAGGGGCCTGCTGGTGGCCTAGGGGTAAGTTTCCGCGCTGTCACTGCTAGGCCAGAGTTCAGTCCTGGGAGCTGACCCACAGGGCGCAGCAGACCTCTCCTGTCTCCCCGCTGCTCTCCTCAGCAGTGTGTTTCAGTCCATCAGCCTGTTCTGCTCCCCACTCTGTCTCTGGTGAATCCTGCCCTCCAGTACCTCTAGCCTACACGCCAATTCGTCTTTGCACAAGGCAGTAAAATAAATCTTTAAAAAAAGGACAAATCGAGCCTGACCTGGTGCTTCTGCATAGTTTCTCTGTGTGCTCACCTGGCACGCAAAGGGATCTGTGACCTGTAGGTCTGTTCCTGTAAAAGTTTGCTTACTTTTTCACACTGTACATATATAAATCATAAAGCCAGTATTCCAGCACAGGCAGTCTGGATTTCTAGCCCACAATTTTTTTTTATTTTATTTAAACACATATTGTTCCTTTAGCTGTTGTTGAGGCTGCTTTTGTGCAGTAGCCATGAAGTTGAGCCCTGAAGTGTTTTCTGTCTGGCCGCTTTAGGAGTTTGCCGACACCTTCCAGAAAATTCTTAATAAATTCATCAAAACGAATATATTTTGAGAATTCAGGTTACAAGGGCCTGTTAAACTTGCATATAATTGAAATGATTTACATGTCAATAAAAAATGGTCGAGAGTTATGATCTAGTCTTGTTTAAACAGAGCTAATTTCGATTAGTTTCTCTTTAATACAGGTTGAGTTTTTCTGAAGAAATCCAGTTTAATTTGAACAAGTTAAAGGATACTTTTCAGTAGCAGCCTTGTGGTACTGCTAAACCTTCCGAGTTGGATGGTCTATTTTGTTTTGTTTTAATTAGGCTTAAGTTCACTCACATCAGAAGTTGTGATTTCTTGTTCTGTAGTTACCATTGGTATATTGTTCATATGTTCTGCTGGCTTTGAGGTAATGAGGTATTACTGGCTTACGACACTGTGTATGATTCAGGGGAGTAGGGCCACACCTCCTCAGATGTCTTGTAACCCCCCCACACCGATGTCCAAGGCGCCTACATCCCTTTATCTTGCTCCGCTGTGCCCTTTCCCCGTTTTGTTCCGGCCTCCACTAGCAGCCTCAGTTTTGCAGTCATGTTCTTAGACTTCAGTTTCGTTTTGTCAGTTCTTTGCTCTGTTTCTCTGTATTACACAGACAGGTATGACTCAGGCTTCCCCAGGAACAATTATCTGGCATTTGTCTTTCTCTTTCTGGCTTACTTAACTTAGTGTCATCCCCTCCAGCTCCATTTATGACCCAGCAATTCCGCTCCTGCTGTCTACCCAAAGAAAGCAGAAACACTGTAAGAAATAATGTGCACTGCTGTGCTCAGTGCGGTGCCGTTTCAGCAGCCGAGGTATGGAAGCAGCCTCGTGCCCAGTGTGAGAAAATGTTTTTATACTCTTACCCATGATGGTTTTCTTCCCAAAGTGTAGTTCCCTTTGTTCTTCCACACCCTCATAGCAAAAGCAATACCCATGAACAAGGGAAGTTTATTTTAAATCAGAAAGGACACAGACCACCCACCCCTCTTCCCAGAAATCCCTATGGTTAACACTGCAATGGACTCAATCTCCAAGCTACTTTGATCTTAGCACTTACCTGTTTGGAAGCTTCTTTCTGGTTTGGGCTGTACTTTTTCTTGATGTGGAAGGCATGGATGGAGGGATGTGATTGTCTTGCAGTCACAAGCAAGAGCTGCAAGCAAAAGGAAAGAGGGTTAGATTTTACAAGGAGTGTGGAGAGGGGTTGATGGTCAGCATTGGTATCGTGGCTTCAGGGCGCTGTAAACTCTGAAACAAGGGTGTGGGGGCCCTCAGAGTCTCAAGCTTTGGAGTTGTAAGGTCTGAAAGGGATGTGCCTACGTCATAGGGTAGATTATTGCCTGAACCGCATGAAAACATAATTTAGCCCATAGGATGTGTACAGTTCAGTTATTTGTAATTTGAGTGTTTCCTATATTGGTTCTCTGCAGGTTTAGACAAGTAGAAACATATGTTCTTGATTTGCCTCCTTTTCAAAGTCTCATTCTAGACCACTCCCTTCATTTGCATTTTTAACTTGAACATGGAGTGGGGAGATGGTGTGACCATGTGTTAGCACCCCCAAGTTGACTGAGTGATTTAAAACCCTACTTATAGGCCCTCCCTGTGGTGGCGCAGCAGGTTAAAGGGTAGCACTAAGAAGCTAAAGCCACTTCAGCATGAGTTCAGTTCCCGCCCCAGAGGTGACCCACGTGGTGCAGCAGACCTCTCCTGACCCGCCCGTGGCTCCCCTCAGCACTGTACTTCATCAGTGGGCCTGTTCTGCTCCCCACTCTGTCTCTGGTGAATCCTCTCACCGCCCCTGCACCTCTGGCCTGTACCCCAGCTCTGTATGCATAAATAAGTCTTTAAAAAAAAAACAAAACCCTATTTATATAGCTGCCTCATTGTGGAAAAGGGCAGTTAATTCATTCTTTCTGGGAAAGCTTCAGATAACTAACATTGAAAGTAACTTGTTGATTCCAGTACCTTTCCACCACCCCAGCAGCTCTTTCAGGCCCAAGAGACTTTGCTCACTGGCCGGTGTCCCTGCCTCTTGGGCTTCGCTGGAGAGGACAGACCTCCGGCTGCAGGGCAGCTCTGCCCAGGTGCCAGTCTGGATGCCTCCTAGGACTGCATGACCACAGGGTGGTCTGTGGCCTCTCTATGCCTTGGTCCCTTGGGGTAAGCAGCATCCACCAGGCTTTTGGTGAAGGCTGGATGCTGTAATATGCCTAGAACTGACCAGAACTGCTCCCGAGAAGCAGGAGCTCTTGTTGTTTTCTGCGAGCCTTTGTGTGCTCACCACTGGCCAGGGTCCATCATGGCCTGGTCCTTTCTGTATACCTCCTGATGACCAGCAGGCCGGGGTGGGGGCTCTGGAGTAGAAGGTGTGGCCTAAGTCTCAACTGAAGTCATCAGCCTGTGCACGCCCTGGTGGTGGGCTAACAGGATGGACTGACAGAGTGTGCACCTGTTCCCACTGGTCCGTGTCCCCTCCCGCCACCTGTTCACAGCCCATGTCAAAACAGCAGCTGCTGGGGCCCGGGGGTTTCCCTTTTCACTGCTTTCTGCCCGGCTCCCTAGAGGAATCCAGCAGCGCCTCCGGCGAGTTCCTGAGGCGGATGCCGGGAAGTGTCTCTCTGCCACCCTGCCGCCCTGTCACAGAGCTGGTCAGATGGTTTGGGCACCCACAGCCCCAGGGGCTCCGTGGCTCCGCCAAAAACGTGCTGATCTCGCTGTGACCACCCCCCCTCGGGGTCCTGGCTCTCTGCTGAGATCTCTTCTTAAGCGGATTCACATGCAGGGAGGAGAGAAGCACAGCCCACTGAGTCTGCGTGGCAGTGACCCTGACTTGATGCCACTTTCCCAGACTGCGTGGGACAGGGGTTGCTGGCCTCAGGACCCGGGCATGGAAGGCGATAGCAAAGCTCAGGTCCTCCTGGCCTGACTCGGAAACCATGTGGGGAATTTTAATATTTGGTTTGTTTTCTTTTTTATTTATGCATACAAGAACTGGGGTATGGGCCAGAGGTGTGGGAGGTAAGTGGAACAGGCAGATCCACTGAGATCCCCCGCTGAGGGCAGCAGCAGGTGAGAGGCGAGGTCTCCACTATGTGGGTCAGCTCCCTGAGGGGGATCGAACTCAGGCCACAGTGGATAGTGCTGAGATTTAACCCCTAGGCCACCAGGGAGGCCCAGGACGCTGAATGTCGGAAAATGAGGTGTCCCTTCTTGTCTTGGAGCCAAGTAGCTTTTGGCGGGCTCTCTGCAGTGCCGTGTGTCCAGTGCGGACGTGGAGAGGCGAGGAAGCCCGCCGGCAGTCTCGGCTGCTCTTAGTAGCTGTCACATTTTCCTAAGTGAAGCGATGAGGCACTCTCCTGGGCCCCCTGCATCCGGCTCCTTTGCAGAACGGCTTCCAAGACTTCCCTGGTAGTGGCCCTGCAGCTTCCCAGGGCAGGAGCCTGGGTGAGGCGCGGCCGCCCACTGCCCTTCCCGGGGCCGTGTGCAGCGATGCGTTTCCTTTGGGGCTGGCTGTGACTCCCTGCCCGGCCTTTCAGTCCCCGCCGGGCAAGGTGACGGAGGCAGTGAAGGTGGCCATCGACACTGGGTACCGCCACATCGACTGTGCCCACGTGTACCAGAATGAGAACGAGGTCGGGCTGGCCATCCAGGAGAAGATCAAGGCGAAGGTGGTGAAGCGTGAGGACCTCTTCATTGTCAGCAAGGTACCGCCCTGCAGGGGAGCCCAGCCTGGGTGCTGGCTCAGGTTCGCCGGCTTCAGAGTTGTCACCAGCAGGCTTTCTGCCTCCTGGAGTCACTGTCCAGGGATGAAGTCCGTTCCCATCTGCAGCCTGCACCACCATGCCCACTGCTGCCTTTGACCTGGAGGCTGCTGCTGCCCACAGGACTCTGGGGCGGGGCAGGCTGGCTCCTGGCGGGGAGGTTGCCCTGAGACCTCTCGGGGAGGGCCGAGGCCCAGCTGGCTGTCCCTTCAGATGTGTCCCGCTATGACGTGGGAGCTCTCCCCGGCAGGTCCAGCATCCCAGTGATGGGGGCGGAAGGGCCCTGCACAGGGGATGAGCTGTGTTCTCTTGCCGGCTTCAGCTGTGGTGCACGTACCATCAGAAAAACATGGTGAAAGTCGCCTGCCAGCAGACGCTCAATGACCTGAAGCTGGACTACCTGGACCTTTACCTTATTCACTGGCCAACGGGTTTTAAGGTAGGGGCCTGGGGCCGTGTGGAGCGCGCGGCCTTCCTTCCCCAGGGGTTCCCCGGGGGGCCATGCTGTGTGTGTGCCCTTGCTCCCCCAAGGGGCAGCGCGGGCCCATCTGGGGACCAGCAGCAGCAGCAGCGGCCTCTGTCTGGGGCCCACCCGGGTGACGCCTGCGCACACACTGAGTGAGGCTCGCCGCACCCCGTGCTCCGGGCGCTGTGCCTTTTAAAACTTGGGGACAGCAAGTGTGGCCCCTGGGGCGTTGCTACACGTGAGCAGATCCACCACTCCGGGCGTCACCGGCCCTCGGCCGCACCCACCGCCAGCCCAGTGTGTGCCCTGCATAACGCCCCGCCCGGCACTGGCTGTGTGAGTGTCGGCAGCCTGACGTTTCCAGAGACGCGCCCAGCTCTCTGCGTCCTGTGCCGTCTCCCTGGTCATGCTCCGCTTTCTGCTCTGTTAGCCACGCTGAAAGCGTGGGACTGTCCTGTGACTGTGTTACTGCATGGTGGGGTGACTCTCACCCCTGAAGGGATTTTCCTGATGAGCAGTGAGGCTCAGAGAGGTGACGGTTCCGTGAGTCCGTGCTCCAGCCAGGACACAGGCCCCGTGGCCCTGGCCTTGAGTCCTCCCGTGGCCCTGGCCTTGGTCCTCTGCTAGATTGGTCCCGTGAGTAAGAGTCGGGCGTCTGCACCTGACAGTCAGCCCCAACCCATGAGATAGAAAAAGTGTCTGCTTCAAAGGATGTAGCCCCCACCCCGCCACCCCCACTCCAGGTCTGAGAAGGGCTGGTCCTTAGTGTCTGTTTGCCTTTATTGCGATGGCAGCCTGGGAAGGAATTTTTCCCACTGGACGGGGAAGGCAACGTGATTCCCTGTGAGAACGACTTTGTGGACACTTGGGAGGTAAGTCACATCCCCCGTTGGGTCTCCTCGCCAGGGTTGGTGCCCGGTGCTCCTGGCCACTGGCCCGGCCTGCCGTCTCCTTTCTGCGTTTTGTTAACTCTGTCCCTGTTGCCACTCGTCCTGTGTCATTGAAGCCCTCCTGGCTTGTTCGGGCATCACCTGGCCTCTCAGAGGTCCTCTTTGCTGGTGCTGAACAGTAAGGGCAGGACCTGTTATAATGGCCAGTGCCAGAGATGCTTCTGATCCTTGTCCTGGGGGCCTGGTCAGCAGCGAGCAGACCTGTCTTTGACTTCAGGCCATGGAAAAGCTGGTGGACGAGGGGCTTGTGAAAGCCATTGGGATCTCCAACTTCAACCACCTCCAGATGGAGAAGATCTTAAACAAACCGGGACTGAAGTACAAGCCGGCGGTGAACCAGGTGAGCAGTGGCAGGACAGTGGGCACGGGTGGACCCTGTACTGTGGCTCCGCCCTGGCAGTCGCCTCTTGTCCGCATTACCCTGGAACAGTGGAGACTGGTCGGTGGCCCTGGTTTATGATCCAGGTGGTGCATCTGGCAGCAAAACTTGCGATTTCCACTGTAAAGACTGGGGTCTCGGGGTAGCAGCACCAACCCTGAGATCTTCAGACCTGTCACAGTGGATAGATGGCCCGAGCCAGAACAGTCCCTTAGGGCCCACAGCCACGGTGTATCCGGTAACAAGATTATCGTTGTTAATGTCAAGGACACTCGCTGGGAAATGCAGACAGTTGAGACAGCTTAGCTGGGAGAGAGGACACTGGATACAGACTGATTTTCGGCCTGCGGAGGGAGGAGGCGGCGCTGGGGACCTGCCCGTGTGTCCTGTCACCTGCCTGTGTTCGCAGATCGAGTGCCACCCCTACCTGACTCAGGAGAAGCTAATCCAGTACTGCCAGTCCAAAGACATAGTGGTGACGGCGTACAGTCCCCTGGGCTCTCCTGACAGACCCTGGTGAGTTTCTCTGCAGTTTTCCCTGCAGCTGGTAAAGATTAGAAATGGCTAAAAAGAAGACGTCAGCATGCAGGAAAGGCTACGGGAGCTGACTGGCAGGCCTTCCCTGGGGAGAAGATCCTGTTGGGTTTCCCGATCTGTGTCTAGTAGCAAGACACCTGTTCTTTTCCCAAAGAACTGAGCCTGCATCATGAGGGAGGCCGGTGGGCCTTCCTCCAAGGTCTGCGGAGTTTGGGCGAGATTCAGTGACTGCCGGCCGTGGAGGAGATGCTGGCTGCCCACTTGGCCGTCTCTCTGTCTGCAGGGCCAAGCCTGAGGACCCTTCCCTCCTAGAGGACCCCAGGATCAAAGCAATCGCCACCAAGCACAAAAAAACCACAGCTCAGGTACAGCCATTTCCCAGGTGCTCAGGTCGCAAGTTCTGTCCCTTGAGCTTCTGTGTGGTCCCTTAACCAGGAGGCACCCTCCCTGCAAGCACGCTGGGGGCGCTGGGGTATCGTGGTAGGAAGGGCACAGCTGGGAAGTTAGACTGCTGTCTGCTCTGCAGGGCGCCTGCCCCGCCACCACCCCACCCAGGGTTGGCGTTGGCCTGCGCGGAAGCTCTCACCATCAGCTGCGGGGACATGCTACCAGCTGGTAGCCAGGCCGGGGGACAGAAGCGGCCGTGCGGGTGGCTGAGAGCAGGTCTCCGGGTCTGAGGCTGAACCGCGGCCCTCCTGTTGCTCCGCGTGACCCTGTTGTCTCTGCGTCTCGCTTTCCTCACAAGTGGAATTCTGGAACTTCCCTCCGTGGGGACGGTGGAGCAGGTCCAGTGAGGTGCTGCTGTGGCTGCTCATTGTACATACTTACACCCTGGCGCCTCTGCTGACAGGTGCTGATCCGGTTCCCCATGCAGAGGAATCTGATCGTGATCCCCAAGTCAGTGACACCCGAGCGCATTGCCGAGAACTTTCAGGTAAAGGCTCCGGCTGGTCAGGGCGGGGGGGCGGCAGTCAGGAGTATCACTTGGAGGTGCTGGGGTGGCCGTTTCCACGTGCCCGACAGTGCGAGGCTGAACACGCGCACTCCGCCGAGTGAGACAGCAAGCAGTTGAACTCACCCTTTCCACCCACACACTCGACACGCACGGCTGCTTGCATACTTTGATTTTCCGTGTTTGATCTTTACAAGGCGGTATTGTGGGCTGGGTGCCAGAGGGCCACGGTTAATGAATGGCACAGTAAGGCAAGTCACAAGGACGTCTGGTGACCAAGAGCGTGTGAACATGAGTGTGACACCACATTGTCATCCGTTAACCGAGGATGTCCATTAAGACGCAACAGCGTGTCTTTGAAACCTTTACGTGCCTCAGCTAAATGTGACTCAGACAGGAGTAGCCCAGGCTGTTGGGACATGGTGCCGTGGCAGGGCTGAGGCCTTCCAGACGCAGTGGCTTAAAGTGCAGTGAAGTGAGGGATGCCTGTATTCGCACAGCTTACTGGGCTCGACTTTTCAGGTCTTTGACTTTGAACTGAACAACGAAGAGATGACCACCTTGCTCAGCTTCAACAGGAACTGGAGGGTCTGTGCCCTGGTGAGGTGAGTGGGTCCCCGTTTTGCTGGTCCCGGAAGGCGATCCGATGCAGTGGAACAGACCTCCTGGGCCGTCACGTGGCTCGCTCATTTGCACATCACCTCGCTCTCTTGTCCAAGTACAGCAGACCTTCAAAGCTGGTGGCCGAACTGCCGGCCACAGGGATCTGCTTGGGTTCTCTGGGCCCCACCAGGCACGCTGTTGGCCTAACCTGAAGTCTCGCTTTAGTGGCTCCTCTGAAGCCAAAGGTGGAGTCCTTTCCCAGCTGCCTGGCAGCTGTGCTGGCCCTGTCTTTCCCAGTGACTCCGGAAGGGCTCTAGTAAGCAGCGGCGCGGGGCCAGGCCAGTCCCCACCAGGACCCTAGGCCACACGACTCTGCGACTCTGAGCTGGTCCCTCTCCCCCCATCCCCTTCCCCGACTGCAGTCATCTGAGGCCCTTCCGCTGGTTGCTGGCTTTCCCTCATCTGCTGTGGGACCTGAGGGTGGGCGTGTCCACCACTGTGAGTGCCTGTAGAGTGAGGGGCCCCTCCCAGGGGCTGACCCCACCTGCGAGGCCCAGAACTCGCTTGTCGCTGCCTCCAAGGCCTCTCTTACTGTCTTTCTGTAATTTTTGGCCCTGTCCGTTCCTGCAAAAGCTAACGTGTTCCCCTTTTTCCCTGGCAGCTGTAAATCCCACAAGAATTACCCCTTCACTATTGAGTTTTGAAGCTGTGGGACCTGTTCGTCCCTGCGTGACCTGCTGCTGGTTTTCCCACCTCGTTCCTACGTGCAGCACAGCGGGGTCCATGCGTGTCCTCAGCAGAACATCCACAGCCTGCTGGCCGGCAGCAACCAGAGGCTGGGGCCAAGGCGCTGCCTCTGTGGAGAGAAGTCGCCCAGTCTTCTGTAGCCTTCCTTTCCTTCTGTCCAGTGGGCCAGTGCATCCTGACTGCCCCTTTCTGACCCACAGGGTCAAAGTGCCACTAATGACTAGGTCTCGAAGGCTTGGAATCGTGATCCTTTCAGGTGAACTTCCTGCCTCAAATAAAAGTGCTTTTGTGAGTTTGATGCTCTTTGTTTTGGATGGTTGAGACACCCAGCCTCTCGTCCCTCTCACCCTTCACCCCATTCATCAGAGCTGGCCACTCACTGCAGCCTCGGAGGATGTGGCCTCTCACCTGTTCATTGGAGGCGCCTTCCCCCAACATTTGACCATTGAGCTGTAGGGTGGTGGTCACACTGGCTCCACGCTGGTGTCCCTGGGGAAGGCTGACGGGCACCAAGGGCGCCGGCTTCAACGGCAGGTGCTGATCTGACATGCGGCCGGCGCTGAGCCTCGCTGCTGTGGAGCTGGACATAAAGCTAACCGTCCCCTCACAGACGAGCTGGCAGTTCCGCCAGGGGCATCCGCCATGTTTACTCCCTCCTCAAGGAATTGCCATGAAGCGTGCCCTGTGGCCCAAGGGCCCCAGCTCAGGCCACCAGGACGCAACACTGGACACACTAGGGATGGGGGCTGAGACAATAGGACTGTGTTGCTCGAAGCTGTGGAGGCTGAAAAGTCCAACGTCTGGGTGCCGGCGGCTCGGCTCCCTGAGCACCCTTGTTCTGACGTGGAGGAGGCCACCTTCTCCCTGCTGCCACATGACGAGGATGAGTGCTTGAAATGGTTTCAAAAGGAAGCACTTTTTCTTAATCCCTTTTCACTCATGCAAGAGCCACGGCCTACTTTTATTAACATCTGATCCAGAATTCAACTGGTCGGAGCCAGGAACTGCTCCCGGGCAGCAAGTAGCTCTCCATAGTTGTGGCTGCATGAACGCATGCGTGCAGAGCGAAGAGCCTTTGTTAGGGTGACTGGTCAAGCCAAGTGTGAAATCCATGTATCTCAGGCCCAACACTCGTTCTCAACAGTGGCCCAAACTACCTAAGAGGGTTCTACTCAGAGTTCTCATTACTTCTCAGCTCTTCCCAATCCATGAGCCCAAAGCACCCTCTAACCTTTCAGGCCCCCTGTCTCCATCCTGTAAAATGTCTCCCTGCCGGTGGTCAAGAGGACGAAATGAGATGATCAGCGTAAATCCCTATCTTCGGCCCTGCACTCGGCACTTAATCTGTGCTAGCTTTAGTTGGTACCGATAATCATTATAAACAAATGTCAGTGGCAGAAACAAAGCAGGCTCCCCCCCCCCCCCACAGTTTGCAGATGGAGCCCCAAGAGCTGTCGTCGCCTGGAAAGGGGCTTTCCTTTGCAAGAGCAACAGTTTCTCTGTGGCCTGGACTCTGTCAAACCTCACACACAGGAAGGCGTGCTCCTAACACATCAGTGAGCAAGCACACTGCGGACTTTTGTTTCCAACCTCAAGGATTATGGCAGGAAGAACGAATACTGGAAAGAAAAGGCTCTTGAAGTGTTGTTTCCTTTTTTAAGATTTATTTATGCTATAGAACTGAGGTACAGGGGCAGCGAGAGGATTCACCAGACACAGAGTGGGGAGCAGAACAGATGGATTGACTGAAGTACACTGCTGAGGGGAGCAGCGGGTGGTCAGCAGAGGTCTGCCGCGCCATGTGGTCACCTCCCTGGCCTGGTATCACTCCCACTGAAGCGTGGCTAGCTTCCTAGTGCTATGCTTTAACCCGTTGAGCCGCCAGGGAGGGCCCTCTTGAAGTGTTCCTAAGAAATACTTTTTCCATACTGATGGAATCAAAGCCAGGGCATTAGCTAGCCCCATGATGGCCTAATCCAGTGTTTCTGATTTGGGCAGCAGGCCCCTTTCTTCAAATGGAATCCTTTTTGGATCCATAATATAGAAGCTGTTAAGGGCAGAACTGCTGTGGTACAGATGGGGAGATCTGGGTACCAAGCCCATCAGCACCCCACACCACGAGCGCCCGGGAGAACAGCCTCAAAGCTTGGGGATCCAGCCCTCTCCCTCTTACTTGTGTTAGAGTAATGGCTACAATCATTTTCTTCCACTCAGTTGCTGGAGTTCACAAATGCTGGGGAGGCTTACAGGGGGCTTGGGTGGGGCTATGTCATGAGGGGGCAGTGAGTGTGACCGCTGGGACTGCCTCATGCAAAGGTGTCGGGGACCGAGACCAGGACCTTGCCTCCTATGCACAAAACAACACTTGATTGGAACTTTGGGTAAATATCCCGGTTGAGAAAACAGCACACCGAATCCCTTCCCCCACTCCTTTCTCCCTCTGAGCTCAGCAAGTTCCTGGGCCTGAGAAAGGTTTTATGTCTGGCTCCTTAAGATGACTACGGCCCCCTCCCCTCAACCCCATTGGCCTTTGAGACATCAAACCATCAAGACCACCCCCACCGGCACTTTCTGTACCGCCCTCATGCTCTATCTATTTATCTATGACTGTAACAAGTAACAAGAAAGTAGAAGAATAAAAGCTCTCCTTGTAGAAAGACACATCTGTGTTTTTCCTTGGCTGTCCCTGGGGCTCTCAACCCCCTCGCCTTGCTGGTCAAGGCCCCCCGCACAAAGGCTTGACTGGAGCTGGAGGGTTTGCATCCAAGATGGCGCACGCAGTTGCTTGCTAATTGGTCCTGGGCATTGACAGTTCCTTACCACATGTAACTTTCCATCGAACTGCTGGATGGAACGCCAGTGTCTTTCACTACCTAACCCAGCCTCATTTGCCATTGCCTCCACAAAAGGCCTGCTGTTACAGGGGCTGCCTCACCAGCTGACACCTGGCAAACCCGCATGCTGTTTAGAAGGCATTTCAGAAGGAACTGCAAATGCTATTGCAAAAGAATCCACTTTCAGATTGGTGTGCCCCGTCAAACAAGCCTTTGGCTTAAAAATGAGAA